AGGATCCAACCTTTCAAGTAGTTATTACCTGTAGTGGCAGTCATAACTAGTTGTGAGAATGAATCATTTACTTTAGTAATACTGGTAGTAGAGTACAACGCGTGCAGAACTCCTATATTCATATATGACATAACTAAATATGATCATGTCTCTCACAAACTGAATGAGTTGAAATGGCTTTCATTGAGAAAAGAATTCGAGTTCAATGCCTTGTGTTTGTTTTATGTATAAATGATACAATGCGATACCTCCTGAATTCAAGCAATATATTCTAATTTACAGAACTCCCTATAATTTCACTCATCTCGTATTTTTCCCTTTTATTTTCTCCAATTTTCTTACTTTTTTTGAGTGTGGTCGAAAAGTTGATTGTTGATTAAGGAAATAATGAGTGACTAAAAAGGTTTACGTTTAGGTTAGGATTAGACAGACTTTGGTTGATTAGGCTTAGGTTAGGTATGCAAAATAACAATAATATAAGCCTTAATACAAAAAGCTTCAAGTGGTAGAGCACCAATTGATGAACTTTCCTATCATCCATTTTTGTTTTCCTTCTTGTCTCATCTAATTAGAATAGTACTTCAGTGTACGTGGAACGTGAAAATAAAGACATTTATTATTTATTAGTATTATTATTATTGTTGATAGTGTTAATGAAAAACCGGAAGAATCCAGAACGAATAATGTTGCAAACCAACAGCAAAACTTTCTACTCGTCACTCTCTCGTGAAAAGCTCGAGTTACTAGATCTAAATCAAGTGGTCCCAACACGAAACCCAACTGCGGAACAAATACGTTGAATAGTTTCACAAAGTTTCAGAATCGAATGTTGGTTAGATAAACTTCTCGATGGATTTCTACAAAAGTTCCAACGTTCTCAAATTCCCTCCACCAGAAATAATTAATTTCCTGAATAAATGTCAACCGATTTTGTATAGAAAAAGACGGGATGGTAAAAAACCGAATCGAATATTTATGGAAATGTATTACTAGTTGGATTTCCTTGTTTCTTTAAATATACCAAATAGCAGTTTAATCTTCCTCTTGAAGATGATCACTTGGTGATCGAAACCCGTGTCGAGGTGTTAGAATAAAGGTTTGGTGTTGGAAAAAACTCCATTAATATTCACTTTTATTCGCAACTAACGTTACTGCAATTTCGTTCTATAAAGACATTTTTAAATTTATACAGTAATCTAGTTTGGTTTAAACCTTACAGGACGAAACTGCAGTAACGTTGGTTACAAATAAAAGTGGTAAAAAACATAGAAAGTTTCAATTTTTTTTTTCATTAGGATCGTTCTTCATTACAAAATGACGCTTTTTTGGATAGGACCGCCACGTGTGATGAAAAGTACAATTGAAGACATTCAGTGCAGTATTTGGACACCAATGAGCTCCCAGGTACTTCCCAAAGGCGAAAACTCACCATAAAGACATCATGTTACATCAGCGCCTAGTGTGATCCACTATAACTTTCTGCAACCGAACCACACCATCACAGCAGAATACTATTGTGGGGAAACCGACGAAATGTACTGAAAGTTTTGCCTCATCCACCATATTCCCCAGACCTCTTCCCAATCGACTACCATCTTTGCAAGCCCTTTCATAATGTTCTCACCGGAAGAACCTTCACCATCAGAACCAGGCAACAACGGCCTCCGTCGACTTTATCGAATCCCGAAGGCACAGTTTTTATTCACTTATCTCGATTGAATTGAATGAATATTCACTGAAATATCACAGTTCAGAATAGACTCTGAAAAGACGAAACTTTTGAAACAACTTAATACTTTTCAAGTAATTTCTGTCACTTCATACTGAGGGATACTTTTTTGGTTACTCGTACCGTTTCACAGGCTAGAAAAAATAAAAATGTGAAGAAAGAGAAAGGTGTTAAGTGAGGTTAGGTCCAAAGTGAGTGGGTCTATTCGACCATCTACCGAAAACCGCAAGGGTTTATTGTGGTTCACACTTATTCTCGACCAAATAAACCCAGCTTCCTAAAGAAGCCGATTGGTTTGTAAGGTGAGTGGTGTTTCAGGTCAGATGGTAAGAGTACGGCTCTGCTAAACTCTTAAAACCTGATTCGGTCCCCAGCGGGGCAGGCATAAAGTATATGCTCTGCTGTTTCATCATTGATGAGGTCGGATAGTCAAGGTGCAAGATTCACACTTTGACACCCGCGACAACCTTTCCAAATGAGGGTTTTTGCACGTCAGCTACACCTGACGATGCCTTAGATTCAACCGTGCAGGGTTTTTTCGCCTCTGATTTTGGTGAATCATCACAAGGGCGCGAACGTTTGCTAACCTGCTTATGGAGGTTTGTTTCTCCACTTGAGACAGATTCTGCGTGCGCCCCTCAAGAATTTTGTGCTCTTGGGAAGTTTCCTGGCTGCGGAGTCCCCTGGCTGCACCACCAAACCTTCATTTAAGATTCAGTTATTGGATCAGGAGTTGGGGAGTTTAGAAGCTCTCGCTCCTGAACTAAATTTACAGGGAGGTCAGTTGGAGTCGTAAGCTCGACATCCATCTCCTCTGTTGACTCAGCGTCAGAAAGAATTTTTAAGTCTACTCTGTCCATAAAATCCCACGAGTAGCTAGGAAAAGAAGGTCAATCACGGCAGAGCCCCGCATTACCGTGACAAGGCGATGCTACGACGAGAGGGCGGCCGGTATCTCAAAGGTTCCGTAGAGACAGCTGTCATTCAGTGTCATTCATCCTCTCGGAACGGATACACAAACCTTAGGATTAAGCCATCGCTGGGATGCCTTTCAGTTAGGGAATAACATAACCACAAGTGTTTATGTCATTCCCGTATCTAGCGGGGGTACGTAGAAGCAGGCATCCGATGGTCGGTTTGCTTAACCCCCACATTTCAAGCCAATGCACTCGCCAAAAACAGCATGTACATTGGTTCAGGCAGATGAACAAGGACATCCAACCCGCCGGGAAAGGTGTAGAAAGAGAAAATTTCCAATTTACTACAGAAAAATGAAAGAAAATCTGAATAACATTTCGTATATTTTCATACCATATTTTAATTCTTAAGAACCAAATCAAAATATGTGACTACAATGTGACTATAATATAAATGTATAACATCATAAGATGACATTTGAATAAAAAATAATGTGACACAAATCGTAAAACAAACATATACATATCAAAATAAAGGTAAAAAATAGAAATAGATAAATAAACAAAATGTTACGATAGGTATATACGTCACAATGACAATGATCTGACATTACCAACTTCAAGTATAAATTCATCTACTGGGTAGAAACCTTTTTCTGATGGAAACACTTTCAACTGTTTTTTAAAAACTTGAGGTGGCAGTGTCTTCATTTCGCATGGCAGTATATTAAAGAGACGGATACCAGCAAACATAGGAGACTTTTTATACTTTGCGTGATGGTGTTATTGGGAGATGAGCATATGGTTATTCCTAGTATGATAACTATGGACTTCCGATCTCGACTCTAGTTGTCTTCTATTTTCATGGATATACGTCAATGTTTTCAGAATGAACAAACAGGCAACAGTCAGTATTTTATTTTGAAAAAAGATCTCTTCACATGACGTTCTGTAATCTAGATTGAAAATTAGCCTCAGTAATGCTTTCTGTTTCATGAAAATTCTGTCCATCTCAGTTGCTAAACCCCAGACAGCAGTGTTGTTGTAAATGGTGGATTGAAAGTTATCGAATACACTGATATCAGTGCCTTAGTATCTAATTTATTCTCAAGGGATTTAATGAGATAATACGATTGGTTCAATTTCTTGGATATAAACTCTATATGTTCTTGCCAAGTGAAATGTGAGTCCAATATTGTTCCTAAGAATTTTGTTGAGCTTGTTAATGCCTAGGATTCATTCCGGGAAATGGAATTGAAATCATGTAGGCTTCGAGATGAATTTGCAAATTCCATGCATACAGTTTTTCTCAGGTTAACTATAAGTCTATTCCTGTAACACCAGTCATCAAATTCGTGTAGGACTGAGTTTACAAGGTTATGCATTTCTTCCGTTGTTTCACTTGAAAGAATAATGGAAGTGTCGTCTGCGTAAAGGTATATCGCACCATTACTTATATTATTTGGTAGATCATTCACATATAATAAAAAAATTAGTGGATCGAGTACACTACCTTGAGGTGTCCCATTTGTTACAAGGGATTTATCGGACATTGTATCATTTTGTTTCATCTGGAAATATCTATTTGTTAGGAAAGACATTATAAGCTGATTTATGTTTCCTCGAATACCAATCTTAAATAGCTTATCTAATACGAATTTAATATTCAACCCCACCACCCACCACAATATTATTTTTCATCCATTAAATCATGTACTTCTTGTACATGATTTAACATCAGATCGAATGTTTCCAAGTAATCATTTATTCTGCCAGATATATTTTTTTTTATTTTTACGAATATACTGATTATTGATATGGGTCGATAATTCTCCATATTTTTACTGTCATCATTTTTCAATAGGGACGAAGACCGTAATTTCAAGCAGGTCAGAATATTCTCCAAAGGAAATACCTGAGTTTAAAATATATCCTATAATTGTTTTAACTCCATCCGTAGTGACTGGTTCAAAAAACATGGTTGAATTAGTATTTGGCATTGCAGTACAACTTTCTGAATCTTCCTCTGGGAAATGTGTCCTGATTTTCTGGTCAATTATTGTTGAGAAATACTCTCCGAATGTTACTACAACTTCTTCGCTACTGATTATTTTATCATTGAGACTTAGTACTATACATTTGTTTTCATCACTTTTATGTGGTTGTTTTATAATATTCCAGAGAGTTTTGGTTGTCTAGAAAACCAATTAGAATTCAATGAACATAATGAATAATGAATTCTGTTTTACATTTTGAAACAGAGAGCGAAATCAAATATCAAACATGCCACTCATTCATGAACTTTCCACATGACTGCCAAGAAAATCATTCGAACATAACTTTATCTGTTGCAGATGCTCCAGTAGTGATAGTCCGTGTCGAAGAGGTGCTACTCGTGGTCCTCGTCCTGATCATCTGGGTGGCAGCAATCGCCTTGTTCATCAACCGCTGGGGCAAGATTCGGATGTTGGAACCATACCAACCGAAGTTCCACCAGCAGCCGCACCGACCGTCCTGCCCGCTCGCCCCCCTTAGCCCCCCTGGGGTGACGAACCAAGTGAGCATCAGCAACAGTATTACTCTACCCGCCGTCAGGAATCAGAAGTCGATCGTATGTGTGCTAGATCTGAGAAATACTTAGATGGGCTTTTGGCTGGCCGCACAAAGGTCGGAACAGTTTGATGCGCAACGTTGCGTAATATTTCATCGTCTCGCAGACGAAGCGTTAACAATGTTGTCATGCGGGTATCGCATACTAGTTGAAACATTGGTAAAGGTGCATTCTCCTTGCGACGGATTCTTTGCGCTGGAGATGACGTGATACGCTGAGCGTTTTACTTCGGCCAATTTTTTCCATGAATAGGTAGTTTTTCTCAGCGTGAAACGTTTCACGTGTACGAATATGTATCTGTAGAGTAGGGAGGGTGGGTGTAGGCCCACAGCACTTAGTCCACATGTGACCCATTGTACATCCTCCCTAGGAGTTGTCCTCCTAGATCATCGTCCATCTGTCCTTTCCAGGAAGGTGGACAGATCACTGGAAGACATCTCCTTCATACCGGCAGGTGTAGGCCAAGACTCGCTGAACACACACTCTCTTATTGACGATAACTCCGGACACTCGCATAGGATATGCCTCACAGTTTCATCTTCCTGTTCACATATCCTGTGGAGCCCCATTGTATGGAGGTGTTTCCTTAGTTGACAGTGTCCAGTCAGAAATCCTACTCTTGAGCGTAGATTTTTCCAGGTCATCGCCGGTTATTTCTTCGGCGCCAGCTTCCCAGCATCATTTGATTTTATCCCATTTCTTTAGGGATTGAGCATGGGTGTGACGTTTGGCCAGTTCCGCAATTGTCGCACGTGTACGTAACAGACCTTACTAATAGTGGAGGGGTCCTTTACATTGTACGATGCATGATTTACTTTGTTTTGGTGGCATTTGAGTTTTGAAAGGTCCATTGTTCTGGCGAAACAAAATAACGATGAGGATGAATTAAAATGGTTGCGTTGGTACAAAACGATGCAATAGTGTATGACTTGAAAGACAAAGTTCAGAAACACCTCCAAGATGAATTTGATTTTGGATAAAGCTGAAAAAAAATCATGGAAACTTTCTCTTTCTTGGCTTCATTTCGTGAAACTAGGTTAGGTGAGGCTGGTTCCACAAGTGTTTATTCGTGAAACTAACACAACTAGGGACTGGCAACAAAAACTGACACCTCTTTCTTGAGCAGAAAAACACTTCCATGCAGCTCAATGAATTTCACAGTACTGTAACGTGATTAACACTTCTTGATTCCACGCTGCGTAAAAAACATGTCTTTGAGAAAACGTGCCCCAAGTGAAAGCATTTTCCTAGACGGTGGATCACTTCTACGTGGTATATTTGACGTTGACATCATAAACCTGGCTGCTTGTGAAGAAGCCTATTACGTTGTGAGCTGCTTGATTCATTTTCTTCCAGATAGTTTTTGGGCTTGGGAAATGTATCATTTTTTGAGGTCCATTGTTCAAATGTAAAAAAATTCTGCCTTATCGAAACAGTAAGTATTTATGTTGATAAGAACGAATTTTTGATCGATCTTGTACAAAACCAAGCGATATTTTATGACTTGAAAGACCCAGAGTACAAAAATACTTTGAAAAACTTGATTTGGAAAAGAGGGAAATTTATCAACATCGCTGCCAATTTTCTTCCGTTGCATGTTGCTTCCTTGTACGAGTCTAATAGCACTCAACCTAGATACAGAGAAATGACATCACATACGTTGTCCAGACATTCTTCCCTAGAGAAATACTGTTCCGCAGAGTAACAGATTTTACGCTACTGCCAACGTGATTTGGACAAATCGGATTCGCCCTGCGTGAAAATCCTGTTCCTAGGAAAACATTACTTGAGTTTTCCTAGAGACAAATCACGTCAACAAGGAATGTTTCACATCGACGTAATGCTCCTGAAAGGGTTCAGATATCACAAAATTCTGCGAAACTGAAATGATGAGGTTCAATGCCAAGAAGGACGAATTTTTAATTACATTTTTATATTTGTATGACTGAAAAGACCTTATGTTTGAAAACACCTTGAAGGAAGACGTGATTTGTAATGGAACTGTGAAAAAACTAGTGCAGAAATGTACCAAAATCGTTGTCATTTTCCTTTCCTGCATATTGCCTTCCTCTTTGGGAAATCAACGTGATTGTGAAAAACAGATTCCGTGCAGCGTCAAAAATCCGTTCTCAGGAAAACGCACCTTTGAATTGATTGTGCTGCGTAATGTCAACCATCTGAATTACGTTCTGAAGTAAAACTGAAGTTAAACATTCGAGTAGAGCACGTAAAGTGAACTCTTCTGGTGGTATCTCTAATAATTGAATCAACTTTCACAAAACTGGCTACCTGTGTACAGTTTGCCAGTTTTGTCTCAGACTAAAACATTTCGATCTATATGCGGTCAGCCTTAGAGAGTGATGCACAGATTTTTGAAGCAGAACCACCACACAAAACGACCCGATTGTGATCCTATCGAAGCACATCATAACACGATAGGATCTTTTGACTTACGTTTTGCTAGGATATGATTAGAACTAGATTGTGCTCCACTGAGAATTATTGAGAAAATGCATTCACCTGTTTTTATACTTTTATTAGTTACTATGTTTTTACTTGTTCTTATGATTTCACCCAGCAGAACTATAATACAAAAAACTGTTGTGAAAAATATCCTGACAACTCTAAATCTGATTGAAATCAACAAATGGAAAATATGATTCCTCCAAGTGATACATTGTTAATATGGAATTTGTCCTAAGAATATAACCCTCTCAATATAAATATCGAAGTCCAATTAATTCCAATTTATTCATTCAGTTAACATTCAATGGAATATTCACTTAAATTCAGGTAAATGATTAAATTACATGAATAACTATTTTATGTGCTATTTTGAAGTCATTAAAAAGTCGAGAATTACACCTCAGCATATAAAATGCATGTATTGTGCCTATTCTCCTAATTTAAATGAATCCTTATGGCTATAGAAAACAAAACAAAAATTTTTCATATGATATGTTATATAATATATTGGAGAGAGAAGGTAAATGCAATGGACCAAAGAAAGGAGTGAGAGTGGGTATTTCATGTATGAATACTCCTTGGAATTTTTGTATGATATAAATTTGTGTCAGATTCGTACTAGGGGATTCAAAAGATATTGTTAAATATTGTTGCATGTTCAGAGAGGTATAGTTTTAATTTTTTTTTAATTTGGGAAGAGTATTGATATTTTTCAGAGGTGCTAGGAGCATGTTGTAGAGTTTTAGACCAAAAAAGAAAACAAATCTCTGAGTGTGAGTCTTGTGAAACAATGGTAGTTGCATTTCATTAGTTAATCTACTCACTTTGGATTTACGTTGATCATATTCTTCATTGTTTGAATAAATCCATATCAGAATTTGGAAAGTATATAAGGATCTGATGTTTAGTGATACCAAATTACTAAACATCAGATCCGAATATTATTTTTATTAAAGTGTTTTGCACTGTTTGCATGCAAGTCATTGTACTATTAAATGTTCCACCCCAAGCAATTATACAATACCGTATTACCGACTCAGCTAAAGATGTATAACACATTCTCAAATTCTTCCTATCTAGAATATCTCGTAAGTTATAGAAGGTGTAAATAAGCTTTCTCAGTTTTTTTGTGACTTGACTTATGTGTTCATTTCACCTGAAATGCTGGTCCAGCGTAACTCCCAAGTATTTGATAGTTGAATTCTTTTCTATTATATCACATGTACATGGTTGATGTGAGTCGCATCTCAAACTTTTTATTTTCAGTTTTGTTCTGTGTGGCTGATCAGTGTTTTGCAGAGAAAATGTCATAAATTTTGTCTTATTAACATTCAAAGTCAGTAGATTATAATCAAGCCATGTTTTAATCTTTTGAAGCCCGTCTTCAGCAAGTTTATAGACATCTTTCCATGATTCTCCTGTGTATACAATAGCTGTGTTCTATAATAGTAGTTAATAGTTAGTTAGCTAGTAGTTAATAGTATAGAAGTAGTTCTATAATATTTTTTTTACTCGTTCTGTGGCAACTTTCAGCGAATTTTTAATGCTGGCATCAAACTTGATTACCTACTGATTTGTTCTACTGGGAGTTATATGGGCCGGATACTTTATATGGGCCATGTTTAACCAAACAGTATGCTCAGAAAATACAGAAAGTACAAAACTCGTGTTTTCGGTTTATTCACGGAATTAGGAAATATCAAAGAATATCCCATAAGTTACGGGATACGGGGTGGATCACAATGGAAAATAGACGGATATTGAATGCTGCTAATTTATATAACAAAATTATACAAACCAAAACGCCGCCTTATCTGTTCAGAAAAATCACTTTTCGTACTGATGTTCACAATCTGAACATCAGATTCAAGGGTACTCCTACCCCACCTAGTTTTAAAACTGAATTTTTCAAGCGATCTTTTAGCTATAATATTTGCCAAGTGATCAACCTGTTACCAAAAGAAATAAGAAATTCAGAACTTTCTGTTTTACGGAAAAGATTCAAACTACTTCTGTTCGAAAGCCAACTTCAAATATAAACTGCCCAACCCTATACACTTTTCATCATTATGAGACCAGAATAAGTATTAGTAATGGACGTCCTCTCCAGCATCCAAATAGATATTGGAATAATCCCATCTTTTTTATTTTTATTTCATGTATTATTTTTTTTTTTGTTTCAGCTTAGGTAGAATCTTTTTGAGGTTGAGTGGAAGAACAACTCAGTAGCACTTGTGCTAACTAAGTTGAACTTCGCCTTTTGTTATGTCAGCAACTAGCTCTCTAATTTATTTAAATATTTGTTTGTAACTACAGCTGAGTAACAATAAAGACGATTATTATTATTATTATTATATATTTCATAAGATTTCTGATATTATTGCCACACATCAACAGAGTGTTATTTTTTAACATTGTATTATTTTTTTCGCAGCAAGAAACATTCCAGCAGGGAATATTCTTTTAGTAATATTCAATTCATATTGTTTTACAGTTCCACTACTTTTTGAAATCACGATAAGAGTTTTCTCCTT